GCTCACAGCAAACATTCTCGTGGATGCAGTAAGCAGTGATTAAATATGAGTGGCGTTACAGCGTCGCTGTCGGAAAACTTTTCACCTGTGTTTTCGCTCATTTATGTGTTCTCCTTTCCATTGCATCAAAGTCACTCACGTTCCCACAGATCTGACGGGCAGAGCTGGGGAAGCAAGGGGTGCGGGACAGCCAGCAGAGAGGACGCGATGAATGAGTGCGTAGAGTCTAACGGTGCTGGCTTTGAACCTCAGCCGCCTCACCTACCGCTGAGGAAACCTGGGCACAAGGCATGCCCCTCGCAGCAAGGTTCCTTCATCAGCAAAGCCTTTGTAGCAGCTTCCCGGATCACAGTCAGGGGTGAGGGACTAATAAGTGCTCAAGAAACATTAGCTACTGTACCATCATCATCATCACCATCACTCTGCCCGCACCCAGAGCAGTTCCTACCCGGATGAGCAAGTCACAGTGAAAACGCGCTGTCACTCTCCTGGGTCCCTTTTTGAGTCAGTGAAGGAGGCAGAAACCCCGGAGCCTACAGGCACTCATTGTAAGGAAGAGAGTCTGGAACATTCGGATGTGACTGGGGTGACCCAGGCTCCTTGCCATGTAGACCTGGGCTGTGAGCAGCCGCCCCTCTCGCCCTGAGCTGCCCGGGAGGCCACGTGACCAGCGGGGAGGGGGGTTGCTGACGCAGGAGAGCAGGGAAGGACAGGGAGTGTTGCTGCCCTTTCCTGGGAGACAGAGCTCCGGCTGTCTCTCCCGTCACTGCCTGGTGGCCCTTTAACTGTCAGCGTGGCCTCTGGCCCCAGTCTGTCAGATGTGGGGAAAAAGCTTGGACAGAAAATGTGTGGTCAGCACACGTCATAGCGACCGATAGTTCAGTTGTTCTGCTGTTTGGTTGTTCCGCCGTTTGGTTTATTTGCTTATTAGAGTTTTATATATATAGATAAGTTTTTTTTTTCTCTTTAAAGCATGTTGTGCATTTTCTCTGAAAAGATTCATGTTCATTAAATAGCGTCAAAAAATTAATAGCGTCAAAAAAATGAATAGATACTAGCTTCCATCCTGATGGAGCAGCTGTGCGGACAATGGGGCCAGGTTGCCTGCCCCAGGGGCTCCCTGCATGGAGCCCATGTGTTTGCTGGGCGCTCTGACTGCCTGGCTGTGTCCTCCCTTCTGTGCCTTTGTCTTCCCACCGGAACCCATGGGGCTCTGGGGGCGCCGTCTCCGTCCTGAGTTCCATGCTCCTGACCCGCAGGATGGCAGGTGGTGGCGATGCGTCCACACAATGTCTGCCAAGTGCTACTGTGTCTTCACTGACACAGGGGAGCCACCCCGTCCGTCCCGTCCATTTGGAGTCCGACACGAGCAAGGGGGGGAATGCAGTGCTATTCAGGGGGCCTCCCGAGACCCCCAGCCTCATAGTCCTACATCCAGGGGAGAATTCTCGTGGTCCTGATGGTGCGGGGTGAGGGGAGGCACCACAGGGAGCCAAGTTCTTCCTTCTGGAGGACAGGTGGGAGGCGAGGGCGGACTGGCAGTGGGACGCTGTGCGGAGTTCAGTGGGGTGGGGACACGGGGCACGTAGCCAGCGGTGACAATGACAGTCAGGATATGGGGTGTAACTGCATGCGGTCTCCACCCGAGTGGCTTTGTGTTTTAGAGAACTAGATGGGACTTTCTGTTGTTCTCTGAAATAACCATGGGCGTGAGGGTCAAATATTTGAGACTTTTTTCCATGTTTCTCCTTGGCCAAACTCTCCTGGGTCCCACCCTCTCTGGGGAAGGCGTCCCGGTCTCAGGGGGGCGCTGTGCCTGGCTGTTGTGTGCGGTACAGAAAGGGCTGAAACTGGGGGCTCCGCGCCTAGGCGCCTTGGACTGATCAGAAGACTTTCTAGACTCTTCTTCCACTGGTGACGCAGAGGAAGCACCGCCCTGTCTCACGGGCGCAGGGGACGGTGCCTGGAGACACTGTGAGGACACAGGCATAGAAGCCAGAGAGAGGCCTCTGTGCTGCAGGGGAGTCCAAGGAGACCATGGGGGAACCTCCAGAGACCCTGGGCTCTGTCCAGCGGCCCCTCCTCCAGGCATGCGTTCATGCTCTGTGCATGCTCTCCCATGTAACATAGATGAGAGCACCTTCCTTTCTTTCCTCCCTCAGAGCAGTTGGTGTTGGGGGCAAACGTGTGACAGCCCTCCAGGCTTGTTCCAGACATGGCGAGGAATGGAGCGTCGTTGTTGAAATGCCACCCCTTGCCTCTAACGAGCGTGTGTGGTCATCAGGGAGATGAGATAGGAATAGAATGAATCACAGGTCCGTGTAAGCATGCGAGGGGCATAGGAAAGGCAAAAGCAAAGTTCAGAGGCGAGAGGGTCTGCAGGGAGGTGGCGGGAAGGGGCCCAGGGTGTGAGAGGGCTACAGGCGCTGCTAGGCATGGCAGGACGGAGGGGTGGCAGGTTCTTGTGCTTGGCCTGGGCACGGAGCGAAGAGAGGAGGGAAGAATGGGGGGTGGGAGGAGGGGAGATGGTCCTACCTGAGCACACTGTCTGGCGCACTGCAGTGGAAAGCCATGAATACTTATGGCACCCATTTTGAAAACGTGGAAGAAATGAGTGCCTTTTGCAGGATCTTAGAAGTGAGCGGCCCAGAGACAGTTAGAACGGAGGCTTCTGACGGCAGCCTGGGCGCTCGCCTGCCCCTGAAAGTGAAGGTGCTGCCGGGGACCGCGAGAGGGCGGGAGGAGTGGCCACCGTTTCCTTTTTACAAAAAAAAATTGTATCTGTCTATGCAGTGTTTCCCAAAGTGTGGTACGCGTACCCCCAGGGGTGCGGGAAGAGTTTGGTGGGGGTACGCATTGCACCGGAGTTTGGTGGGGATATGCACTGCACCGGGCTTAGCTGTGCCAAATTCTACGTTCTCGTGAGTACGAGGGGGACTCAGCGTTACGAAAAGTCTAGAAGGGGTGCACATATGTCAAAGGTTTGGGAAACACTGGTCTATAGAATAGACCGTAGCCTGTTTGATAAACAAGGTTTGTGCTCAGAATAGTAATCCCTGTTATATCCAGGCCAGGATGATGTGAATATCTGTTGCACTCACACAGGACAGATTATAGCATTTTAATCTGCCTAAGTCTTTGAGATTACCAAGATAAAGAACTTATCTCTTCATTGAATCTCTTTATTCAAGGTGTAAATAAAATGCAGAAGGAAGAGACAAACTATCAGTGATTTGCTTTATAACTTACTGTGCGGGAAAGCAAACCTTTGTCATTGGCCTGACGGAAACAAATGTCATTTCATCAAAAGTCTGCTAGGGAATGCATGTGTGGAGTGGATGACTACTGTGGGGCGGGGGAGTACTGTATTACAATGGTATATCAGCTATGAGATGGCAGATCCAAGTTCAAGTCGCCTTAAAACGCCCTTCTCCGTGTGCAGTGGGATTTGTTTGCGATGATACTACTCATGTAAACGCTGTTTTAACTTGCACATGCTGGACGTTGGATAGTGTGGAACACTGGGTCAAAGAGAAGTAGCTGCCCCCTGTATATCTGATGGGAATGATGGCCAGGCACGCCCTGTGATGGCTCAGTGCCATGGAGAAGGGAGGTTCCCACACAGCCCCCGTGCCTCTCGGCCAGTGCGCAGGGTCCATGCTGAACAAGCAGCCACGATTTTACAGAATAACGTTCCTGGGTGAACCATTTGAGGTCGTGTTCTTGCTCTTAGCATTTCCAACCCTTTATTCCCTATCAGACATGGCGTCAGGGACCACTGGCCACTTAAGGAGCCAAGGAATCAGTCATTCCTTTGCTTTTCTTTTTCAAAAAATGAGTCCCTGTCCAAGCGTCTCTCTTCGGAGGGGATGAGAGCACACATTCCCTCTGGGACGCTCCAAGGCTGGCGGCTCTGCGTGAATGGTGCAAATCCCCCTCCCGCGCCTCGTTCTCAGAGCCGCACACCTACTCGACGGTCCCTGCCACGTTCCTGAGCCCAAGCCCCCCTGAGAGAAGGAGCAGCTCCCCAGACCCTGCACTAGCCTCTGGGTCTTCAGGAGAGCAGCAGTGCGAGGCCGCTGGACAGCCATTGGGGAGCCGAGTCCCCAGCACTGTCAGGGTCACACTCGCAGCCACTCCGCCGCGGTGACTGAGTGACAGGGTGTGCTCCCGCCTCCGCGGTTGTCACTGACCGTGTCATTGCTGGTTTGGCTGAATTACCCAAAAGGCTGAGGGTCTACCTTCCCCCCTGCTAACCCTCTTCGCCTTCCTCCTGCTAGAAAAGGCAGCAAGAGAGAGAGAACAGACAAAATGCTCTGAGCCCGATCCCATTCTAGTTTTCTTACTAATAAAGGCATCTGATACATCATTTGTAACTAAGAACATATTAGATCAAATAGACGAAGATAAATTGCAAAGATACCATGGCATTCTCTCCCTTCCACGGTCCTGAAACGCTTCTGGAAACCCTCATTTCTTTGGTAATTTCAAGGGTGAAATGAAGGAAGCTCTTCCTCTGAAAGGGAGTGCCCACCTGTGCCCACCTGTGCCCGCCCCAGGGCACAGTCCTGCCCTCGGGAAGCCACCGCTCAGGGTCCGGGTCACATCCCCTGTGGTTTCAGGCCGAGACAGCGGGAAAGCAGGCCGTGTCTGTAGGCGCCATTACAGGAGCCGCCCAGGGACAGTAGGGAAGAATCCTCCCAGAGTGACTGGCGGGGAGGACGTGGGATTCCTTCCGCTCTGGGCCCCCCCTACCCTCATGGTCCCCCTCCCCTGCCCCCATGGAATGGCATTGTTTGAAAGCAGACACGCGGGGCCCGTGTCCTGGGACTGAAACCCTCTGTATGTGTTGTCATTCACAGTGCATGCCAAGACACTCATGAGCAGCAGAGCCAAGCTGGCCAGCTGATTAACTATGTGTGTGTATGTGTTTAAAACAGCCTGATAAGGAGCATTGGAAATCCTCAAGATGAGCGAATATCTTATAACTTCTTCCGCAGGTGCCAGGATAGCTACAAGCCATGGACTTTCTGTCCTGCTTCTTGTTTGTGGCTTTGTGAAGGGTGCTTTGCTTTAATCTAAAGTGCTGACTTTTTTCCAATATCACTTTCTCTTCTTAAAGCAAAGAGCAAATCGCCTGTAAAACCTACGGAGCGGACAGCAAAGTTGACCCTAAACACCAAGCACCACCACGCACCCACTGTAGCCTAATTCCCCAGACCAGGAGCACCTGCTTCCGGAGCATTCCTGAAGAGACCCTCACACGCTCTGTCCATAATGTTTTCTTGGGCAAAAACCCATGAGCTTTCATTTCAAGAGAATTAGTGTGAAGTGATAGGACGTGTTCCGATAGCAACATCTATTTTCCCCCCTTTCCTTCCGGATACTGACAGCATCCTCTCACGGAGCATTCAGGGGTTGGCCTGGACCTCGTCGGGATAGTAAATATTTACCATGGAGATCACCACTTCCCACTGAAAGACCCATCGTTTCAGGGAGCCAACGTCAATCAGAAGACTCCAGGACACACAAACCATCACCAGACGACACCCCTGTTTTGGGGGACAAGAACAAAATCATCAACACTGCGAGACAACAAGGAGAACCTTATTTTAAATAAGAAATTAAAAAAGATAATAATTTTTTTTTTAATTTTCCCTTTTTTCTTGGATTTTTCTCCTTTTTCTTGATTACAGTCCTTGTTCAATGGTGACAAGTCCCTGATTACGGCCAATCCCTGTCAATCCTGGGAGCTTTCTGGAAATGCATTTTGGGTGTTCCATATCTCAATGTATTTTAATTCATTTTGCAATCCCTGTATATGCAAACTGGACAAATTCTGTAAATCGCTTCTAGTATGTGTGATATAACTTCAAAGTAGATAGACTATGACCTTCATGCAAGCTGATTTTTATCATTGTATCTATAAATATACACATACAGAGAGCCACATGTTGGATCATCAACCAACCAACGTTTCTTTTGACAGAGCCTTTGTTTCTCACTTATGACTCACGGGTTGTGTGGATTCTGAAATGCCTTGTTTCACAGCCACAGGCCTGATAGCTGCGGGTGGCCTGTCGGCTTCTCCTTCCTCCTGGAAAATGCATATTCAAGATTGTATTGGTCTCTGATACATGAATTGCTTCTGCTGTTTGTATGCTTGTTGGGATTTGCTATGTTTCTTCATATATGGTGTGTGTTGAGGTTCGAGGGTCTGGGCTCAAGAATGTACACTCCCTGGTTTGATGGCGGTCCCCGGTCACAGTCATCATTGTGATTGTCAGAAAGCAATGTTGCTCCTAGAAAGTCTGCCTCAGAGGTGGCTGTGGAGGAGAAGATGAGGTGGCCACCCTCACTCCCTGACTTCCTGGAACAACGCTTCCTGCTGTGACTAACGCTGTGCTTCCTTTGACCTTGATGAATTTTTGTAGCTTCATCGCTCTGTTATTTGCTCTGAGTTATCTCTTAATGTTTCCTAATTAAAAGTTAAAATGTGTTTGTTGGCTCGATAGAATATGCAAAAGATGACAACACATGTGTTCAGTTTCTGTTTTGTTTTTTACTTAACTGGGTTATTATTTTAAACATTCCATTCTTGATTTTGGTTTATGATCACTTAGACTATTTTATTTAGAACCTGTTTCCTACTCTGGCAAAGAATGATGGGCAGAACTGGTGGTGTGGGCCGAATCCGCCATGGATGGATGCGGGTTGAGATAGCAATGATCTGAGTTTCCCTTCCAGAGCGATCCTTCCTTTTTTGTTTTTGTTTTTCCATCACAAAACCAGAAGACACTCAGCTCCCAGCCCAAGGTCCTAAACTGAAGCTTGAAGGCAATGAATACCTCTGCTTTTTGAAGGTAAATGCATTGATTTTCTGCAATTCGATTACAGGCAATGTGCATATTTTCATAATATTCTTGACATTATCTACTGAGAATTAATGCTTCATGCTAAATCTTTGATTGACATTTTCCTTGTTCATTTGGTTTATTATTTCGGTCTAATGAAAAATAAATAAATAAAGGATTTGATTGCACTATTTTATTAACTTAGAAATTTATTTTCTTTCAACGTTGAATGCTTAAAATGCTTACAATAGTGGTACGGTAACTATTATTTATTAGGTCTATCTTGGCTTTAAGATCACGTACAGTCAAGTATAAATTAGTATACTGATTCTAATTTAGTCAGTCTGGGAAAACCCACAATGTAAGTTCCTTTTATCTCAGTAGACTCCAGTCTGTGTCCAAAATAAGATGTCTCTGTCAGTAAGCTACCAAAAACCCGGTCATCAGCCTCTTTGAGAAAAAAGCATGGCATAGAAGCTGTAACCAAGGAAGGAGACCCTCCGGTCATTTCCACCTTACCTGGCATCCTCCGGGACTATTACTGTGTGACTAGGACATGGAAACAAATATAGATGGAAAGTTAAGTGACCTGGCTTTTTCAACCTTGACTTCCAAGATTAATTAATGTCTTTCAAAAAAAGGAAATCATAAAAAGCTGAAATTGCTTACCTGAATTCAATCAGGTTCTTTGGTTCTTTCTTGAAGACTTACAGATTGTTTACAAATGAAACAAGGCCAATGAAAACGCTTGAGGGTAAAATAGGGTAAAAAAAAAAATCCTCTAAATCCAGAGCTTCTCCTGTGAGCGAGTAAACAGGTGTGGAGGGGGCCGCACAGGAGCCCATGGAAACCCTATGGATAGTTCTGTCGATGTGTCTTTGATTTCTGGAGATGGCCCCTGACATTCATTGATTCTGAAAATGGTTAGAATATGAGTTTCTTGCCTAAAAGAAGAATGATTAGATGCGTTTGAGCATCTAAAGGACCTGACTATCATAATTTTGAACTATTTCCCTTTAAAGTTCTTGGAAGCAAGACATGTTTAGGGAAATAGTGTGTGTGTGTGCGTGTGTGTGTGTGTGTGTGTGTGTATCTATATATTTGGCAAAGAAAACATATATATTTTATGTCCTTTTTGTATTTCTCATACACCATATACTACATGGTATAACAGATATGGGATAAAGCTTGTTGAATCTTTAAAACCAAAGCTAAGAGCTTAAACTATAATTTTACAAAATATACACAGGTACCGTTCAAATACATGGTCCTGGTATTGATACTATATGAAAGATAAAATATTAAATATAACTTAATGCTGGTTTTCTATAAGAAAAAATAATTGCAAAAGGAAATGTAACCTCTTCAATAATACATAGACTCTGGTGACTCCAGCTTGGAATTAAGACTGTGAAGCTACAAAATATGTGTGCACATGATTTCTAACGTGCAGCCCAAATAATTTTAATTACAGAACCTCTCGCTCATTAGGGGAGCAGTCTATCACTCAGAACGTGCCCTAGACTTTATAGTCTCTTCAATAGAATTGATAAGGTCCTTTCCTTACTGAAGGAGCGATAGAAACACTCAGAAACAAGAAAATATAACAGAAATAAATTCTACGAAGAAAACCCAGTAGCATGCTAGCAGGTTTGGCTCACTAGATAAGAGTGTCGGCCTGGGGACCAACGGGTCCCAGGTCTGATTCCGGCCAAGGGCATGTACCTTGGTTGCAGGCTCCTCCCAGGCCCAGGGGCCCTGGTCAGGGCACCAGCAGAGGCAACCAATTAATGTATTTCTCACATCTATGTTTCTCTCTGTATTTCCCTATTTCTTTCACTCTCCCTAAAAAAAAAAAAAAAAAAAAAAAAAAAAAAAAAAAAAAAAACAATGGAAAAATACCCTCGGGTGAAGATTAACAAAGAAAAAGGAGAAAACCCTGTAGCATGACATAAAGAAGTGTGACTAGACGTGGTCTGAGGAAGTGAGATTTAAGTAAAACATGAATGACAAGTAGCAGGCGGCAGAGGACCTGGGAGAGGCAGCTCAGGCATGCGCAGAGCTCCCAGCCTGCATCCATCAGGCAGGCTAAGGCGCTAGAAAGAGGGCCAGTGCAGTCAAATGGGGAGAAGGTCATGAGGAAAGATCAGAGAGGGAAAGCCCGGCCAGACCCAGCCAAGGACGGAGGAACAAAGCAAAGGTTCCGCAGATTCTCATGTGAGCTCTTACTCGGAGCCAGGACACGGACCCTCTCCCAGCTGACTTCTTACCCTTGTAGTTGAGCTTGTAAACAAGACTCCTTTGGGAACAACATTGACTCTTTCCTTCTGCGAGTCAAGTACACTTTTGCCTAGAAGCTGCTGGGGTATATTGGGCAGAAGACAATGTAACTCTATCTTTTATTACTTTTTTATATTTTTATTGATTTCAGAGAGGAAGGAAGAGGAGAGATAGAAACGCCAGTGATGAGAGAGAACCATTGATTGGCTGCCTCCTGCACGCCTCCCACACGGGGAGCATGTGCCCGTGACCGGAATTGAACCTGGGACCCTTTAGTCCGCTCTATCCACCAAGCCAAACCAGCTAGGGCTTAACTCCATCTTTTAATGCTATTTTACAACTGTGAATTTTGAGGAAGAAAGGGAAAGATTCAAAGGCTTAATGGGACTACGTTCAGTGTAGGACTGGACTACTTACAGTAATTACAAATGTAATTTGAAATAAAAACAGGAGTATGTAAATGGAAAGAAAAGAGATTCACTTGTTGGTAAAACATTGTAATTTATAAGGGAGAAGGAGGAGGAGAGAACTCTTCATGTACTGGGCTGGGGGTGGTGATTGAAAAATCAGAAAGTAAGATCTCAGAGTTTTCCAGAAGACAATGGGTTAAGAGGTACAGTGGGAAAATAATTACACTTTATTAATTTCTATTTTCATTGTTAAAGAAATAAAATTATTCTGTGATAGTCAAAGCTTATAGAAAAATAGCATATATCTATTTCTTCTTGAAAGCTATACCTACCTACCTATATGCTCCGACTCAGATAGGAATCAAATACAATGTTAAAAAAAATAGGCATAGTATAAACTGTCTATCATAAAAGATAGTGATCAATGTAAGGAATTACTGAATATTTTATGGTATTTCACTGTATATGAAAAGCAACTAAAGTTTCAAAAGACGATATTTACTCTTACTTTGTGCATGCAATGAAATGCACGCCAATATTTCCTATTTTGTTTTGTTAAAACTTGTCAAAAACCATTAAATTGGTTTTACAACCCAAAATTTGGGGGGAGAGGGGAATCACATTTGTATTTTTATTCCAAATTGTAATACAAGTGGCATGAATGATTAATTAAATGACAGTGTATCGTATAAAACAATAATTGGGGTTCTAAACTCTCACTATGTTTTTTAAAACCAGAAGGCAAAGGGGAGCCCAGGGAGAGAGAGGTGCATTCTTTGCCACGTACCAAAGCAGCACGTGTGTTGGGGGTCGGAGCGTGATGTGTGTCCTGTGGTCTTGGTGCTCTGTTGTACGTTCCTGTCCTTCTCTTTGCTGGTTTACCCATGTGTTTGCGATATCCCCACCCTTCGTTACACATGAGGAGGTTCTCTGGAAGATATGTTCCTCTTCAGAGCTTTGAGAAACCACTGGAGAGTAGCAAGCCCGCAGAGCTGCAGGCCTCAGACACCAGAGGAGCGGTGGGTGATGCAGAGCAGGGATGTGTAGTCCCTGGAGGAAAGGCCTGGGTGGCGACAGGCGTGATCAGCCCTGGAAGGCCATCAGCGTCGTCTGACCCCGTTACGAGTCGTTGATGGACTGTGAGATCTTCAGGAAGGGAGCAGAAGGGCAGCCTTCATGAAAAACAGTCCGTTTCCTGAAAACAGGGCTTTGAGCCACCACAATAAAGCCACGGTCCTCAACCAGCCCTGGCCCCAGAGTCCGATCCTCGAGGGACCCCGGGCTTAGCCGCAGCATTGCGTGTGCGCACTGAGAGCACTCCTCTCAGTGTCCTCCGAAGGGAACAGAGGCCTTTGGTAGTAGCTGCTCATCAAAGAAGTAGAATCATCCAGCCCTTGCTGCGTGACTAGAAAATGACCCAGAACCGATGCCATATCCCTGGGTTTCTGGGACACCTTAGTCCAAGACGTAGTGGCCATGTGATCATGGGACTATTTGTCAAAGCCTATTGTTGGCCCATGGAGACCACTCTACCCACCTTCAGAGATTCCCCCAGCTCCCCAAAACACAGCTGAAATGTATGCCTTTATTTACGGAACAAGAAGAACCCTCCACTGGTTCCCTGTTCCATGAGGTAATGGCTATAAGTTTGAGAGACCTTTAGGTTTCTCCTCTTCACCAAAATAGCTAAATAATAATAATAATAATAATAATAATAATAATAATAATAAATGACAGAAGTGAGTGGCACAATGTCGTGGATGGAGCATTTACCTCTTTCTTTGCTGGAACAAAAGGAAGCCGAGTATTGAGTCTGGTTACTGTAAGCAAAATTAATGAGTGTAATTGTAGTTACTGATCCAAATATAGCTACTTACCGGAGCAAGTCAGCAGAGCTCCCAGGACCTGTCACGCAGTTAATAATTTGGTAGTTTTCTACTTTATTGCAATTAGAATGAATAAAAAGGTGTTTATTTTTTACCAGGCAGGGATGGAAGTATCCCTTTACTCTCCTGCCTCAAAGACCCGTTGACTTTCTGGGTCAGAACCACATGGTAGTCTTCCCCGCTGGCCCCTGGGACATTCTACTGACGGTAAGATACGGACAGCAGGATGAAGTGGCACCCTGGAGGCTTAATAATATACATACGCTCTGTGGGATAGGAGAAATCTATAGAAAATGTGGGGCCATGATGGCTCCAGCATACCTTTAAACACTCAAGGAAGGAATAGCTCCACTCTTTCACAGACCATCCCAGTGAATAGCAACCTGGCATGGTCTCTGACTCATTTTATGAGACTAGCATTACCTGGCTAGCAAACCTGACAATGACCGTGAAAAGGGGCAATTACAGAAGAATCTAACTCGTGAATGTAGTGCAAAAATCCTCTACAGAATAACAAAACAAATCCATCAATGTATAATACACCACCTAGAGTCAACATATTTTATTTCAGGCAAATAGCCATTGATAGTAGAATCTATAATAGTAAAAGCGTAATATAC